GATTGCGCCTTTAGAGTTGGTTGTCGGTGATGAAACTAAAGGGCTTGTCAAAGCTATTGCTGATGAACGCCAGTCACGTATTGACGCCATTGGTACATCAGCATTTGCTAATTCTAAGAGTCTGCATGAGCGTGCTGATAGTTTAGCAAATACTGTCAATGGCGTTACTGAATGGCAAAAAGAAGTCAACACAGATATTGAGAAAAGTTTTGAAAAATTGACTTACTTAGCATCTGAACTAGATTTTGGCTATGCGGACAAAAAACAATACGCATCGACAGCGCGTGGTACAGCATGGACGTTTGCTAAGACTGTTGCTCGTGCTGACTATGTTAACTCAGAGCTTGCACGCGGTATATCGGCTGATTTAGCCAACACTAAGGCAAGTTTTACTGAGCAAATCACGGCAACGGCAACCAAAAACCTAGCAACCACTCAAAGGATAGAAAACCTATCTGCTCAAGTTGTCGGCGGCTATGAGGGCAATGATTTAAGCAAATTATCAAGCGGTTTACTCTATCAAGAGGCAACTGCTAGAGCGTCTGATGTTAGTGCGTTGTCTGAGCAAATCAGCTTGTTAAGTGCAGGTGTCGGTGAGCAGTTTGACCCATATAAAATTTGGCATTTTGACAAAGATAGCGAAGGTTGGACTGGCGGCACGTATAGCGATGGTTATATCAATGCACGTACTAACAAACTGCAAAGCCCAAGTCTATCAAAAACGCTTGACGATGGCACTGTTGAGACGCTAAATGCTAATGCTTATCATCATATTAAACTACGCCTTGAAGTTGTCGGTGCGCCTACGTGGTCGGGATTGGTTGAATGGACAGGCGGTAGCAAAACCATCACTGCACCTAAACTTGATAGCGGCGTAGCCAATGTCAGTTTTGATTTAAAATGGGCTGGTAGCATTGATAAATTCAGTATCAAGATTGCGGAAACCGCCGACAATCTAAACTACTACAAAGTGGATTGGATTGCTGTAGGTCGCCCATCGCCAGGCGCGTCATCTGCTGCTGTACTTGATGTTAAACGTGCGTTTAGTGACTACAAATTATCGTCTAGCGAAAATATTACGGATTTAACAAGTGCGATTTACGGTACTGACTTAACACCGCTTACGGCTTCAATCCGTGAGCAGTTAAAGACCTTAGCGACTGATAGTGGTACTTACTCAGACAAGCTAACTGTGCTTGAGGCGTGGTATAAAGGTGAAGATGCGTCTATGGCTGCTATCACTAAGCAGCAATATGAAGCCTTAACGAGTGCTGACAGTGCCAATGCTCGCAAAGTAGACGAGTTGTTTGCAGAGATGGATTTTGGTTACGCTGATAGAACAAAGTTTGCAAACATCAATCGCTCAATGCAGCGCACGCTTGCAATGAGCATTGCGGTAGCTGACTGGAATCAAAGCCAGCGCATTGATACCTTGCAATCTGAATTTCAAGGCAACACGGCACAGGTGCAAAACGAGCTGCTAACACTTGCTAGTAAAGATTTGTCTATTGCGTCTGAGCAAACAAGACTGTCCGCAGACATCGGCAAAAACACTGCCGATATAGTTGCATTGTCACTTGCTGTTACTAAGCCTGAAACAGGTCTTGCTGCTCAAGTTACTCAACTACAGACTGCAACCGAAGCGGCGCAAATTTTAGCAAGTAGCAAAGGCGAGATTATCTATAGTGTCGCTGAGCCACCCGCTAAATATAGATTGCCGCAGAACTTGTGGTTTAAAAAGGAGGGCGATAACACTACCCCGCATATTTGGGATAAGAATAGCGGCAAATGGGTAGCATTAACTGACAAAGCGGCGGCTGATGCTCAAGCTGAAGCGGCGGCAGCTAAACAGGCGGCAGGACTAGCTCAAGAGGCGGCAGATAACAAAGGTGAGGTTATCTTTAGTAGCACCGCACCCAGCGCAGCTAAACGATTGCCGCAGAATCTATGGATTGATACGCGGTTAGGCAAGAACACGCCGCGCCGTTGGAATGGGTCTGCATGGGAGGCAGTAACAGACCAAGCCGCCATCGAAGCTGTTGACGATGTTAAGAAAAACCTTGCCACGTATGTAAAAGAGTCGGGGGCGTATAGCACCGAGTTTGGCAACATCGCTGGTGAGATAACAACGATACAAGGCTCAGTTAAAGGGGTTACAGATAGTATACAAGTGGTCGCTGCCATCGGCGATGCTGAACGCTTAAAGTACGAAATATCAAAAGAGCGTCTAAACAAGAACAAAGCTGCGCTGCAAGGCAAAGTTGCTGATTTAGACTCTTTGATAGCTAAGTACAAAGCGCAGCGAACTGATGCACAAGCTAAAAAGGCTCAAGCAACCGATACATCTGTTATCGCATTGTATGACCAACAGATAGCACTGTTAAACACTAGCATCACTGATACACAAGCGCAACGTGACGAATTAGCAAGTCAAGTCACGCAGTTAGACCAAGAGATAAAAGAACTGGCAAGTTTGAAGTTGACCGAAAGCAACATCAAAAAGCAATACTTTGTTAAGTTTGACTCTAATAATCGTGCGGCAGGTTTTGGCATCATGGAAAATGCCGATGCTACGATTGACTTTGCCATCCGTGCAGATAAGTTTTACATTGCGCCGCCAAGTGGTACAGGTAAAGGTGACAGTCCATTTATGGTGCTAACGTCTAGCCAAACCATCAATGGCACGGTCGTACCCGCAGGTACTTATATCAAGTCAGCTTATATCCATAATGGCTCGATTGATGTTGCTAAAATAGCAGACGCAACTATTACAAGTGCAAAAATTGGTCAAGGTGAGATTAAGAACGCCAATATCGGAACTGCAGAAATTGACACGCTTAATCTCAGAGGACAGGCTGTAACTGTAACATCAGCAGTTACACAGACAACTTTTTTTGATGCTAAGACGAGTGCCAGTACAGACGCCATATACCTTTACACGGATGGCGTGACAGTGGCAGTTGAGTTATGCTTAATCAGCTGTAATCCTGAAGGCTCAGGTAGTTTTCTTGTGGAGTGTTATGTAAATGATGTGGTGAAAGGCTCTTGGAATTTAGCGGGTACTTTCGGTTACTATCCGAGCATGTTCTTTCCCTTCTCAGTGGCGACGGGCACGGGGCAAACTAAAGTGCATATTAAGGTCACAAGTAATGGGGCTAAAATCGGCTCACAAGGATATTTCTTCAAAGTGACGGGGTTAAAGCGGTAATATGTCAAGTATATCTATTTACGTATTAAACGAAGATTGTTCATACAGAAACCAGCGAATCGGCGATATAGGTAGCTTGATGTTGGCTGTGGAGATAGAAAATCTTAACTACACACTACAATCACCGCCATCTTTCCATGAAACATGGTATTGGTATAACAATCAGTGGAACGACAAACCTAGCAATTAAGCTAGGTTTTTTATTTAAGGGGGCGTAAATGCCAAAAAAACGAGTTAAAACATCAGCACTTTGGGTATTTGCGCTCATGTTGTTGGTGTCAACAGTCGCAGTGGCTCAGGTGGGAGACGATACGCCAAAGCCAATTTTAAATAGTTGGGGTATGACTGCGCCCTTCCTGCTATCGTGGCTGCCAGTATGGATTTTTAGCGTATTGGGCGGTATCGGGTCAATCTTTGTCAAAGTAGATAACATCGATGCGCGGTTTCGTTATCTATACGTGGCTAAACCTTTTTTAGGCGTGCTTGGCGGCATGTCGCTGTCAATCGCAATGACAGACGGACGTGACCCACCTGAAGTTATTTTAAGTACTTATGCGGCAATCTCATCTTTTTTATCAAGCGCAATTTTACAGTTTGTGCTTGTGCTTTTATCTAGTCCAAAAAACAGTTTGGCAGTTGTTAACAAAGTAAGCCCTGTGCAATTTGAGCTACCCGACAAAGGGGGTGAGTCATGATTAGCGTAATTCTGTGTTTTATCGGTGCGCTGTTCGGTGTGTTTGCGCTCATTAAATGGTTTTGCATCTTAAAGCCCGATGTGCACACCAACGTGTATAACGTCATACCTATTGTGGTAACAACGATTGCTTGGCTATCTGCTGCCGTGACGTTTTATCAGACTTCCACGTATGATAGTCAGATTGATATTCAGCGATTTTTCATGGTGCTAGGCGTAGCAGGGCTTATTTGGCGCATTAAAGTTTATCGTGAGTCATCACATAAAAAAGATGCAATCATCAAAGCCCGCGCAACAAACAAATCATAAACCCGCCAATTAAGGCGGTTTTTTTATGGAGTGGCAAAATGTAGAGATACAACGCTCACTAGGCGTAACGGCAGATGGTGTTTGGTGTTACAAAATGTCAGTTAAAGAGATACAACGCTCACTAGGCGTAACGGCAGATGGTGTTTGGGGCAATAAATCGCAAGCTGCGCTCGATGCCAGCAAACTAAAACTTAATTACTCATGGGACAAAATGCGCTATGCGTTTGGCGGCTTTACCCAATCACAAGTAGATGGTTTTAATGCAATCATGGCAGCGATTAACGCCAACCAAGCCGCTAAAAATCCATTGTTTGCAGCTTATATCTTAGCGACTGTGTGGCATGAGACAGCTAAAACCATGCAGTCTATCGCAGAGTATGGCAAGGGCAAGACGCGCAAGTACGGTCAATGGTTTACCAATAGCAAGGGACAAAAATACGGCATACGCAATGGCAGTGGCGCGGTATATCTGCAAAGCGAATACCCGCATTTGTACTATGGGCGTAGCTACTGCCAATTAACATGGCTCGATAACTATATCAAGCTAGGCAAAATGATTAATGTGGACTTGGCAAACAATCCTGACTTGGCACTTGAGCCAAAAAATGCGGCTAATATTTTGATTACAGGTATGTTGACAGGCGCGTTTACTGGAATGTCATTATCACGCTGTATCAAGACAGGGGCAACACAGGAATTTGTTAATGCGCGTAAAATCATCAATGGCACGGACTGCGACAAACTGATTGCAGGTTACGCGGTTAAGTTTTTGGATTGTTTGATTGTAAATTAACCTATCCACTCACTCACAATATCAGCCCACCACTGCATTAACTTGACTCTATGTTCCCAATACTCAGCGCGGTTATATGCCGCGCGTCCTTTGTTTTTCTCAACATGGGCAAGGCATCGCTCGATTACGTCACTATCCCATAGTTTTGAGTTGTTGGCGTGCGTGCTAAATAACGCCCTAAATCCGTGTGTGGTCATCTTGCCCGCAAATCCTGCACGTTTAATCGCAGCTAAAGGTGTCTCTACTGGCATGGGCTTGGCTAGGTTGGTGCGATTGATAAAAACATACTCATCGCTTTTTCTGTGTTCATACAGCCATTTAAAAAGCTCAAGCGGTTGACTGGCGAGCGGTATCATGTGTTCTTTACGCATTTTCATTCTATGCGCTGGTATTAGCCATATTCCTTTTTCTAAATCTATCTCTGCCCATTTCGCGTTTGCTAATTCGTTTGGTCGTACTGCCAAGTAATTGTATAAGGCTAAAGCAATACGCACTTCGTTGGTGATTTCTGTTTGATTGATGGTTGCCCAAAACTTTGGCATTTGCTCAAACGGCAGACAAGCCATATTTGTGACGGTATGCTCAGGTATCATCTTTTCAACAAGATGACAGGGGTTAGCTTGGATATAATCTCGCACAATCGCATAGTCAAAAATCGCTTTGATATTTCGTAGGGCGCGGTCAGCCGTCACTTTTTTCTGTTCAGCAACAATAGGCGCGATTTGGTCAGCAATATCTTTGCGTGTGATATCGTATATCATACGGTGGCGTAAAGTGTCAGTCACCAAACCAATGCGATATAGCACTGTATAGCGGTACTTCTCGCTCGTCCAAGCCTTGCTATAAAGCTCAATCCATTCATCAATCACTTCACCAAGCGTGATATCACGCACGCCCATAATCGCTTGTTTGCGCTCTTTATTGGCTAATTCCCTTGCGTCTTTCAAAGATAGCGTAGGGTAAGTGCCCAGTTTTTTGCGTGTGCGCTTGCCATTTTTGACAAGCTCTAAAGTCCATGACTTTTTGCCAGTGGGCATCACATCGATGGATAAACCCTCCCCATCTGATTTTGAGTAGCGTTTGTCAGTGGGTTTTAGGGCTTTAACTTGGGAGTCTGAGAGTGCCATAAATTAGCCAATGTTCGAAGTAAATCGAAGTAGTTGGAAGTAAATTGTGTGTGTTTTCGTGTGTGGGGTGTGTGCAATATTAGCTTGATAAAAGGTGAAAGTAAATAATAATTAATGACACTTAATGATAGCTTAAGACAATAAAAAAGCCTCGCAAACTCAGTGTTTACAAGGCTTTTCTACTGTTTTTTGATACTTAATGACACTTTGTAAAACTTTGTGCTATTTCAAAGATGGTGGAGATGGCAGGATCTGATATTAATATTTAAGATATTGATAATTATAAATAATTAATCAATGCGTTTTAATCGTGTGTAAAATGTGTGTTTATGCTGATTGTGTGTATTCACCATTTTTATAGCGTTCTACAAACTCTTTGGCTGCGTCTTCGTCCCATGCCATGCGCGTCCCAAATACCTCAATCGGTGGCGGTGCGATTGGTATAATTCGTTTTTTGAATGTATTGCGACACACACCCATCATTTCTGCAAACTGTTTTATATTCACTCGTTTAATCATCATTCACTCCCTATCAATCGCTTTTCGTCTATCACGTTCATTTCTCAAAGTATCTAGCAAGGCAAGCCACATTTTTTTGTCAAAGTCCATACCCAGCATATCTCTATCAGCTTCAAGCTCGATATCTTGTATCAATACGCCTAGTGTGTTGCTAGAAATGCGCGGCAGATACTTTCGGATGATTTGGTTAACTTCGCTTGGTACATACGTCATGCGCCCGATTGCGTAGCGTTCAGCGTAAATGATAAATTGCTGAAATTCATCGTCAGTAATCGTTATATCAGTCATCTTGCACCTCGCTTGGTGGTTGCTCTAGACTCTCAAAAAAATCATTGTTCGGCATATTCATCGGATGCCATGCTAAAATTTTTGATTCATCAATGTATTTCTCAGCTTCAACTAGACTTAGCCACACATGACCGCTTGCATACTGTCTAAACAATCCCACGCTATAAAGAGTAGGGTATTCAGCGCTGTCGTTTTTGAGCAACAAGTTATACGCTTGCATATCCTGCGGCTTTTCGTCGCTTGGCATTTTGCGCCATGATTGGTGCTGCTTAACGATGTTAATCGCATTAACAGTCGCGGCAATGTGATGACCTAAAAACACATACCCTAGGCTGTGGGGTTTTTCTTGCGCTTTGAGTTCGAGTAGCCGCTTTACTTCTTGCTCCAACTTCTCAATCATCGTTAGAGGCTCAACCGCGTCCGGTTTCGGCTGCATTGTTACGTTTGATGGTTGGGTCATAGGGTCAACTCCTTACAATCTCTCTCAAAAATTGCTTTTGGGAACCAAGCGAAATTACTTTCATCAAAAATAATGAAATAACCGCCTTCAACCTCTATTCCTTCTAAAAAGCAAAATATAAAAAATAATAAAATAACCGCCTTCAACCTCTATTCCTTATTCCTTATCAGGTAGGGGCTGGTAGGCGGTACATTCTGGCTTTTCACCGATATATCGTATATCGTTAGGGTATTCAGGGTCATTAATTTCACACATCATTGTTTGCAAGATAATGGGGCAATAATCTTGTACCGCCGGATTATCCTTTGAGCATTGATAGCAAAATTGGCTCATAAATCTATCGCCTTCAAAACCATTGCTAGGGCAATACAGTTCAATTTTTTCGACTGGCTTTTCAAACATTTCAACTTGTTCGGTCATGGCTTACGTCTCACTCGTTTAATCATTTTAATTGGTGGCATAGGCAGCGCTTTGACTGCCTCTTTAAACTTTATTTCACGCTTCACCGACTCGTGGTAAAGTCGGTGGTTGTTTTGGCGAATGCGTTTTGCGGTATGTTTATTCACCTAGCACCGCCTCGGTTAGTGGCTCGCCTGTGTACCAATCAATAGGCGTCAGTCCACCAACAATATTACAATTTGTACTCATTAAACCGCCCTTATATAACTCAAGGTCAATAATGATTTTGTCGCCATTTCCCCATAAACAAAGCACATTCTTAATGCCTTTTGCGAGCATGGCTTTTACAAGCGTATCCCCACTCAACGGCTTAGTCGGCTGCTCAAACTCGATATGCGGATAAGGTTTTGACAGCATGGCGCGGTTTTCGGGCGTGGCATGGCAAATGACTTCATGATTAACCCTGTAGGGATAGTTGCTTATACGCATATACCCATCTTCAAACACTTCTAAAACAGTTTTTACGTCAGTTTCGCCATACTTATAAACCTTATCCCCAACCTTAAATGTCGGCTCTACCGCTTCAAACTCAGGCGTTAGTTCAATGTTTTGTAGTGGGGTTTCTGCTGATTTCGACAGGTCGGTGAGTAGGGCGATTAGGTCATCGGCAGAAATTTCAATGTAAAATTTGAGCGTACTTTTTGCCCCATTTAATAATCGCAACTTATCTGGCTCAATCAAAATAATTTCTCGGTCAGAGTGAATGGTTTGACCAGTCATAGCCCACTGAAAACCACAATCGAATAGTAGCTTTTGAATTTGTCGGCTCTGCTCTGGCGTAACGCGTACTTTGTAGTTTTTATCTAGTTTCATCTTTTATCCTTAGCGACCTGCAAGCAAGCCGCCTTATCGATTAAATCAAATGCGCTAATTGACCGTTGAGCGCGGAAAAAGGACAATCATCATCGATTGCGCTAGGCTGTGGCTCGCCTTGCATTTGGTTGTTAAAGTTCGGTTGTTGCTGATTCGGGTTTTGTGGTGCAAACTGTGGATTGTTTTGATACGCTGGCGGCACTGATTGACCGTTGGCAAATTGCTGATTAATCGCTTGACCGACTGGCGTATTTTGCACCACGTTCTGCGCTGTATTTAATGCCGCCTGTGCGTATGGGCTAGGTTGTGGCTGTTGTTGGTTGTTTTGCTGCTGATAGCCCGCCTGTGGTATGGGCTGGTTTGGGGCTTTTTTTGTTTGTTCTGTTGCTGATAGCCGCCATTTGCTGTGCGTTTTTGGTTGCCGCCTAACATTTGCATTTGGTCTGCAATAATATTTGTTGCGTAACGCTCAATGCCGTTTTTGTCTGTGTACTTGTCGGTTTTTAGCTTACCTTCGATGTATATCGGTGTTCCTTTTCGCACATATTGAGCGATAATTTCTGCTAACTTACCAAACGCTTTTACCCTGTGCCATTCGGTGTTTTCCACCCATTCGCCAGTTTGCTTGTTTTGGTATTTTTCAGAAGTCGCCACTGCTATTGTTGCCACGCTACCGCCATTTTGGAATTGGCTTACTTCGGGGTCATTGCCTGTGTTGCCAACGATAATTACTTTGTTCACTCCGCGCATGATGCACTCCTTTTGATTAAGTTATTCGCCTTCGCCAATCAACATAAACTTATGTTTTTTGGCTAATTCGTTGTATCTATCTACATAGTAGGGCACTGCTTCAGCAATGCGTTTTTTGATTGCTAATTGAGCGTTGATGTCACGCTCAATTTTTACTGTGACAATTCTGTGTTGTAGCGGTATGGATTCCACCATGTCTATATGGTCAAATTCATCATCCCATGGCTTTAAGCACTCGTAAGGGGTGGGTAGTAAGATAAAGTCAATGTAGGCAACTGGTTTATCCCAAAGCCACATATAGCCTTGCATTTGCCAGTCATAACCATATTCTTTAGCCTTGTTTTGTGCGTCTTCTATAAACCATGGGTGAGTATCACGCGACCAACTACACTTGATATCTCGTATGGCTTCATCGGTAAGCACATCGCATTCACCTTGAATCCATGGGTTATTGCGTCTTTCTGTGTTTTTAACTGGCAAAGTGCCTGTGAGCAATCCAACTGCCTTAATAGCGTCACCTTCAAGTAGCAAGCCTTTTTGAGTGTATTGGTTTTCCTTTGGTTTGGCATAACCAAACAATTCATTAACCACTTGCCGCTTTACCATGGATTTGACAGTATCGCCAAAATCGATACTGCCATCCTTTCTAGCTCTGCCAGTCATTAGCTCTTTAAGTGAGCTACAGCGTGCCTTGTAAATCATGCCGCCACCAGTTTTTGCCGTGTGGTTTCGTTAAACGTATAGCCACCTTGACCGCTTAAAATAGTGCCTTTATCAAGCGTACCGTTTTGGATTTGCGAAATGACGGTATTAAGTAGGTTTTCGTCATTATCTAAATTCATTTCGATAGCTTGCTGTGGTCGCTGGTTGTCTTCATAGATGAAAACTTGCTCGCCATCTACATCATGGATAACGGCTTGGTCTGCTTGTACGGCTGTTGCCAAAGGCGTATCAATGGATAACGGTGCCTGTTTGCTTAGTAGTAACTTGATAACCGTTTTTTGAGCCATGGCATCAAAGTTATCTTTCCATACTCCAAAGCCTTTTTTTGCGGTTTGGCTGTACTTTTGAGAGTGAGCATTTAGTTCTTCAATACTCATTGCAAGGTGCGCTTCATAGCCATTGAGCAACTGAAAATATGCGATATAACCAGTGATTTGACCTGTTGGCTTTTTTGGCAATAAGCTAGTCAAACGCTCATAAACTGTCTGCTCGGTGTCATCCGAGTAAGTAGCACAAGCATTGATGCGCTTAAATTGACCGCTACGTTGCGCGAGTTGAATAAAACCTTTATAGCCAAGCTGAAATTGCGCCTCTGTGCGATTGGCTTTGTTATTGCGAAAAGGCACAATGTAAGCAAAACCTAGGTTGTTATTAATCGGTAGATTAAGCGTTGCTGCCATACAAGCTGCACTAAATACAGTTTGAGGGTCTGCATTTTTGAGCATATCGTTACTATTAACCACTTGTAGGACGCTGGTAGCAAAACTTTGAGCATTTTTACCCAGTAGCTCTATGAGCTTTTGTTGCACTATCGGTTTTGAGAAAAAATCTTTCGTTGCCATTACTTGATTGTTTTGATTGCTCATGGTCTTTCCCTTCAAAAATATTGTTAAATTCAGTTTCGCTAAATAGCTTGCTTAGTTGCTTTTTAGCTTCAGCGTTGAGCGGTTCTTGCCACGAAATAGGCTTGTTTGTCACTTTCCACCGCCTTTGATTTCCATGATTAGCTTATCGGTTGGGCTAATAACTGGGTCGTTGTCATAATCGCCAAGCTTAAAGCCCAGCGACATGACGCCAAAAAGTAACGCTGTGTAAAAGATGAGTAGGGCTAGTTCGGTGCGGTTCATGGCTGCACCTCGCTTGGGGGGTTTGGGATATGCTTATAAGCAACCAATTTTTCAGCTTTGCATATATTCAACCGCTTCCCAAAATTCGCCATTCCACTTAGCCTTGCATTCCGTCCATTCGCGTTTTGTTTCATTGCTAATCACAACATCCGCTAACGTGACATTTGTAGGTATGCCATTAACATCAATCGCTAAAACCGCTTCACTGTCAAACACAGTGCGTTTTGTTGGCTCGACTGAAATATCAATCCAATCGCTGTACTGCTTTGCCACTTCGATAGCACTAAGTAAGCCGCGTGTCCTGCCCCTAGCATCTATAGCTTTACCACTACAAAGCTCGGATTTGTCCTCAAGTTCACACCATTTTTGATACTCTCGTTCTAACTTCTCAATCAATGTACTCATGCCACCCCCAAAATGTTAGATAACTGAAAATGTGTCAGTTTTTTCGCTTGTCTGTGTTTCTCGTTTGCGTAAACTGGCACACCGATTGAATCACTTAGTAATTCGCAGAAGTTCAAAACATCGCCACCGTCAGTAAGTGGAAAATCTACAGCTTCAGCCATACCGATTTGCACCTTTTGAAGTAGGGCATAATCGCCCTTATCCTCAAAATCCATCACCAGTGTTAGCAGCCCTTGTGGTATATACTTTTTCATCATTAACCCCTTACGCAAAATCAAATTGGTTAACGCCGTAGTAGCTGTAGGCATCGGTATAAACTTCATAATCGCTTGCCAACGTCATGCTGTAGTAATCGCATAATTGGCTTTCGATGTGATACGTGATGCTCTCTACTTCGGATTTGCTTAATTCAGCCTTTTTGCCGTTGATTGTGATGCCGTAAATATCAAAGCTGTGTAGCAATAACTCACCGCGCTTTGATTCGCCTTTGCTCATGTCAAAATCGACAATGATGTGATAACCTGTATCGTCATCGCCACTCACATAATCGAGTGTATCTTTGTCAATGTCGTTAATTGTTTCGGTCTTAATGACTTGCATAATTAGTTGATAATCTGTCATACTGTTTTAACTCCTTGTTGAGTAAAGCCCTTTCAGATTTCCAGTCGAGAAGGGCTTTTTTGTTGGTTAAACTTAATGATAAATCTGAGTTCTGATTTGGCTGAGAATGTCATCAAGTTCTGATGCTTGTTCGTCAGTTGATTCAGCTCGACAGGGCAATTCCAGGGCTTTTTTGTTGGTTAAACTTAATGATAAATCTGAGTTCTGATTTGGCTGAGAATGTCATCAAGTTCTGATGCTTGTTCGTCAGTTGATTCAGCTCGACAGGGCAATTCCA